CCTGTAGTCCCAGCTACTTGGGAGGCGGAGGCAGGAGAATCACTTTAGCTAAGGAGTTGGAGGTTGCTGTAGGCTGTGATACCACGGCACTCTACCCAGGGCAACAGCTTGACCACCGTCTCAAAAACAAAAAAAGGAAGAGAGTCTTTTTTTTGGCTAAAGATTATTTGAATATGCTCTTATTTTTACTGATTAGTTGTATATGGCTTTCAGAGGTGTATATACACACACACACACATATATATATTTTTTAGACAGATTCAGTGTCCCATCATGGCTAAAGTGCAGTGGCATCATAGCTCACTGCAACTTCAAACTCCTGGCTCAAGTGATCCTCCAGCCTTTGCCTCCTAGGGAGCTGGGACTACAAGTATAAGCCACTATACCCCACTAAATTTTCTATTTTTTGTAGAGATGGGGTTTTGCTCTTACTTAGGCTGGTATTGAACTCCTGACCTTATGGAGTCCTCCTGCATCAGCCTCCTAGAGTGCCTGAGCACCTGGCTGACATTTTCTCATATAGTGCTGTTAGAGTATGAATAAATTGGTGTAACAATTCTGGAAAGCAACTTATTAATATATAAAAGGCTTATTAATGATTAAACTTAATCTAATTCTACTTTGAGAATTTGACATAATCATATAGGTCTGTCTTTATCCATATATAAAAAAGAACCTCCAGAGTCGACCACCTCCCTACATAGACCACCTCCTTAAGTTGACCTAATTTTCATAGACTGAACATAGACCACATGTATGTGTCAGTAAAGTATGCCTAGTTCCTTGTGTTGACTAGTTTGTTTCAGTCCCTGGGTGATCTTCCAGAGGTTCTACTGTATATATTTAATCAATATCATATTAAACTAGCAGAAAATTTGAAGCCACCTAAAAGTACAATATTTGGTTATATTATGCTGTAAGTGTATTGTGAATAATAGTACAAGCATTAATGATGTTTTTGAAGACTAGGCATGCGTGAAAATGCTCAGGGAGTAATAGGTAAAAGGTATATCTTTGCTTATTGTAATTCATAAGATGGGTATTAAAGATATAGAATACAGATGAAAAATTAAACAGTATATAGGTTGGTAATCTTTGGCTGCTGGCAACTTTAATATTCTATATTTTTAAAATTGAACATACCATCTTATATAATCTCTTATAGTTGGAGGAAAAAAGCAGGGAACTTTTTTTTTAAAGGAATAGAATTCAGGTTGATATGTACTTTAGAGTTCTGTGTCTTTTGTTCTGTCAATTTAATAGCCTCTCAGTTTGGCCTCTAAAACATATGTAAGCACTGTGTGTTTTTAGGCCTCTTGAATATATTTGCTAAGACCTGGGCCAACCCCTTGCAGTATAGAATCTGGCTGTGCTATAACAATTTAAAGGACAGTGTCTTCTGTCTTACTTCCAGGTAAGGTAATTTCCCTAATATAGAATGACTATTTTCTTTTCTGTAACTTTATCTGAACAAATTTTTATAAAAGCAGTGTTTAAGCTATAAAAAAGAGACTCTGTGAATTGAGGATCTGTATGGTTTGATCTACACTGGGTTTGTTCTGACGCAGAGACCCCCTTAGGCTATATCATTTCAAGAAAAACTCACCTTACCATGTGTTGTCTTGGTTAAAGCACTGTGTGCTCTGGCTCAAACCCCAGTTTCTTGGAGGTTCTAGAAGGGCCCATTTCCCCTTGGTTAAACACAATTTTTCTAGGAGGTAGAGAGCAATTGGCCAGGTATGTACTATCATCACTTTTTATTCTTTTCTGCTTATTTTCAGATGGAAAGAACTCAAGTGGATCCAAACGTTACAATCGCAAACGTGAACCTTCCTACCCCAAAAATGAAAGTTTTAGCAACCAGTCCCGTCGCTCCAATTCACAGAAAAGCAAAACTTTTAATAAGATGCCTCCTCAAAGGGGCGGCGGCAGCAGCAAACTCTTTAGCTCTTCTTTTAATGGTGGAAGACGAGATGAGGTATGGAAATTAAGAATATCCTTTCTAGAACTTAAGCCTGATAGTCTGATCGTCTCACTCCCAGGAAAGGAACAGGAAATAGCATAGATAATCAAAACAGTCAGTTTTGAGTTATTGAGGATTAACTAGGTTTAGAACTTTTTTTGCTTCCTTTCTTCATTGGGGTATCTTAATTTGTGTAATCCTTTTTTTTTTTTTTTTGGGAGACAAAGCCTCACGCTGTCCCCCGGGTAGAGTGCCATGGCATCACAGCTCACAGCAACCTCCAACTCCTAGGCTCAAGCGAGTCTCCTGCCTCAGCCTCCCAAGTAGCTGGGACCACAGGCGCCCGCCACAACGCCCAGCTATTTTTTGGTTGTAGCCATCATTGTTGTTTGGCAGGCCCAGGCTGGATTGGAACCCGCCACCTTAGGTGTATGTGGCTGGCGCCTTAGCCACTTGAGCCATAGGTGCCAAGCCGTGTAATCCTTATATTATCATTCTTTGCTTCCTCACTTAGGGTATCTTAATTTGTATAGTCCTTCTATTATCATTCTTGAATTATAGGTACCCTTTGAATATTTATGTGCTAAAATGACGTTAATGACCAAAAATTTCCTCCCTGCCTACTGTATACCAAATAACCATTCAGGAGTTCAGAATCCAACTTTGAACAGAACACTGTCCTTACGAAACTTATATGATAGTTCAGAAAGATAATAAACAAGCCCATGTATAATAAATCTGATGGTAAGTGCTTTATTGAATTAAAAAAAAAGTAGACTGAGGAAGTTTAAGAGATAGAGAGAAATAAGTATACCGTTAGAAAGTGGCTAAGTGACCGGGTATGGTGGTGACTCTCGCCTATAATCCTAGCCAAGGTGAGTGGATTGCCTGAGTTCAGGAGTTCTAGACCAGCCTGAGCAAGAGCAATACCCTGCCTCTACTAAAAAAATTAAAAATAAATAGCTGGGCATTGTGGCAGGTACCTATAGTCCCAGTTACTTGGGAGACTGAGGCAAGAGGATCACTTGATCCCAAGAGTTTGAGGTTGCTATGAGCTATGACACCACAGCACTTTACCCAGGGCAACAGAGTGAGACTGTCTCCAAAAAAAAAGAAAATTGGCTAAGAAAAGCTTCCCTAAGAAAGAGGATTTTGTGAGAGACTTGAGTGAAGCAAGGGAGCACTGCATATGATTTGAGGAAGAGTGTCTTAGCAAGAGCAAGGGACTAGAGGAGGTAATGTGTTTAGTATGTTTGAAGCAAAGTAGGCTACCTTCTGTGCAGGAAGAAATGAACCCAAAGATTGGACAGGAAGAATCAGATCACATGGGGCCTTGAAGGACTTTGACTTTTGTTCAGAGAGATGGGAAGCCATAGGGAAGTTTAAAAAGAGTTTTAGCCCCTCCCTGACCAAAGACTCTAACCTGTCAAAAGCAGGTGATCTTACAATTGAAGGGCAATCATTTCTTCCCAGTTGGCCTATGGAAAACAGATTTCCACTATTTATCCCAGTAGATCCAGTGGTACAGATGATGTGGAGCTGATTGCACTGATCCAAGCCAACTACTAGCAAAAGCTGATGAAGGGCATTTTGCCTCTGGTAGGCATGACCATGGTACAAGCCCTCCTAGGCCTCATTGGGTATCACTTATACGAAAAGGCTAACAGACCAAAGTCTCCAGAAAGAAGCTCAAGGAAGAAAAACAGAACAAGAACAATAATAAATAATAAATGATAATTAAAACAAAAAGTTAGGGCTGGTGTGCTGGCTCACAGCTGTAATCCTGTAATTGCTGTAACACTCTGGTTAGGCCAAGGTAGGATGATTGCTGGAGGTCAGTAGTTCAAGACCCTATTTCCACAAAAAATAGAGACAGCTAGCTAGGCATGGTGGCATGCGCCTCTAGTCCCAGCTACTGGGGAGGCTGAGGCAAGAAGATTACTTGAATCCAGGAGTTCAAGGTGGTCGTGAGCTAGGCTGATGCCATGGCATTCTATCTACGGCAACAGAGTGAAACACTGTCTCAAGAAAAAAAATTGTGGAAGTATAATAGGATTGCAGTGCTACTACCATGGGTAGCATCAGGGTCTACTGTAATGAGACTGGTTGGTGTGGTTGTGTTTTTAGCCACGTTTATCTGCTCTGTGGTTCGTGTGGAATAGGCAGAGAGTTTTAATTATCAGGGGAAGGTTTAGCCAGCTGAATACAGCAGATGAATAAAGGAGTGATGGAACATAGGATCTAAGCCAAATATGGGGGTTTGGAGATCCTAGTAGGTAAAGGTGGTTGGAATCAGAACTAACCTAAGAAAGAGAATTCCTGGTTGGACAGTAGGATGCTTAAAGTGAAGATGGTGAAAAATGTGTGATTGTTACCTGCATGGTAGACTATAGAGCCCTGCTTGTCTAATAGGAAAGCAAGCCATGTATGTAATTAAAGTTTTCTAGTTTCCATGTTAGAAAAGTAAAAAGGAAATGAAGTTAATTTTAATATATTTTACCCATTATATCTAAAATCTAATCTTGCCACATGGCACACGCCACATTTCAAGTGCTCAGCAGCCACATCTAGTTAGTGATTACTCTGTTGGACTTCATAGCTCTTTAAGGTATGGGTGGGTGACTGGGATAGGGGGTAAGCTGACTGGGAGAGAGGAGGTCAGTGAATTGAGAGGTTAGCATATTCAGAGGATAATCA